TCTCTCTCAAATCTCCTCTCAATGTTCTTGAGTGTTAGATCCAGATCTGCCATGGATTCTTAAGGTGTATTGAAGATTGATCATCAAAGTGACCTATCATCAACTCGTTCAGAAGACCTTCAACATCATTCACACCTACGATTTAACTTTTTAGTAGTCAAACCATTACACTTCGAGTTTTAAAAGTCATCCAAAATTCCTCTAAACCTACGGTTTGACTTTCTAGTAGTAAAAACATTACATGTAGGCTTTCTCAACTCGTTCAAAAGACCTTCAACTTCATTCACACCTACAGTTTGACTTTCAAGTAGTCAAACCGTTACACTTAGAGTGTTAAAAAAGTCATCCAAAACTCCTCTGAACCTACGGTTTGACTTTCTAGTAGTCAAAACTTTACATGTAGACTTTCTCAACTCGTTCAAAAGACCTTCAACTTCATTCACAACATTACATGTAGGCTTTTATCAACTCGTTCAAAAGACCTTCAACTTTATTCACACCTACGATTTGACTTTTTAGTAGTCAAACCATTACACTTAGAATTTTAAAAGTCATCCAAAACTCCTTTAAACCTACGATTAGAGTTTCTAGTAGTTAAAACTTTACATGTAGGCTTTCTCAACTCGTTCAAAACACCTTCAACTTCATTCACACCTATGGTTTGATTTTCAAGTAGTCAAACCGTTACACTTAGAGTTTTAAAGTTATCCAAAACACCTTTAAACATACAGTTTGACTTTCTAGTAGACAAAACATTACATGTAGGCTTTCTCAACTCGTTCAAAAGACCTTCAACTTCATTCACACCTACGATTTGACTTTTTTGTTGTCAAACCATTACATTTAGAGTTTTAAAAGTCATCCAAAACTCCTCTAAACCTACGGTTTGACTTTTTAGTAGTAAAAACATTATAGGCTTTCCAACTCGTTCAAAAGACCTTCAACTTCATTCACACCTATAATTTGACTTTCAAGTAGTCAAACCGTTACACTTAGAGTTTTAAAAGTCATCCAAAACTCCTTTAAACCTACGATAAAGACTATGACTGGATTTGACTGAGTACGGTCAAAGCATTGACTGGATTGATTAATGGTCAAAAGATCAACTTTGATCAACTATCAAACACCAAATGCATGCATACGATCAAGACTACAACCGGATTTGGTTGAATAGGTCAAAGGGGTGACTAGATTTGCACAATGAAAAAAAAAAGAAGAAAAACACAAATTTTAACAAAAATTCATCCAAAAATGGATCAAAATCGCAAAATTTATGAGTTTCATGAACGAACAGAAACTTTTCCAAATCTTCAAAACTTGACTAATTATCGATCAAATCCAAAAATTGTTTGAACAACAAAGATTCACTACAACAAAACGCATCAAATGAGCACAATTTTAAGAATCAAACATCAACGAATTGAATGAAGATAATCAAAAACACTGAAGAATACTCAAGAACACATGAAGATCACTTGAAGATAAAACCTAAAAATTTCCAAAAATTTCTGAATTTTTATGCTACTTCTTAATCAAATTTTTTGCATTTTCTACTCTGATTCCAAATGTGGATCCCAGATTGTTTAATCAATCATCATCTTCATCAAAATTTTTAAAAAAATGGCATATCAAGAATTGAGAAAGTAGATGAATATTGAGAGAAAAAGTCAACAAGTCAAATCTTGAATGTTATTTTCAAAGCTCAATTACACACACTAATCTTGATTATGAAAATTAAGCATCCTTACTAATACTAACTAAGACAAATCCTATTTAAAGAACTAAACAAAACACAATTATTAAGGAGAAACAGAAGATTGAATACAACACTTAAGCTCAAAAACTCAAACCCAACAATGTTGAAAGGGGAACTACACATGATAGGAAAGTGTTCCAGACCAGATGTCCTTGCTCCAAGTGTCAAAATGAAGCCTATAGAGAAAGAGAAGACATGAAACTACACTTGATGCAATATGGTTTCATGCCTGATTATACCATTTGGTGGGACATGGTGAAACCTATTGTCCTGCAACTCATCAAAACATGGGTCAATCTTCTAATCTTATAGTGGATCATAATGAAAGCTATTTTCAAATGGTGAACGATCACATGGTACATGATGCCATGACATAGGAAGAGCAAACACCTAATTCTTCTGCCCATAGATTTTATAACATGTTATGTTGACGAGCCTTTATAGGATGAATGTAAAACTTTTTCAAAATTAGGAGCTGCGACGAGTTTGTTGCATTGGAAGGCAGAATATAATGTTCCCGAGATGCCATATGATAGACTGCTTTATGTTTTTAAGCGGATGCTACCTGAGGGTGATAAATTACCCTGTAACTTCTATGAGACGAAGAAGAGTTTGAAAAATCTTGCTCTACAAAACAAAAGATCAATGCTTGCAAAAACCATTGGATGCTATTTTACAAGCATGATTCTGGGTTGACCCACTGTCAAGTATGCAATAAAAGTCGTTAACTTGGTGTTGATGTACTTACCGATTGTTCCAAGACTCCAAGGATTGTATATGTCTCCAAATACAATGAAAGAGATTATTTGACATTACCATCATCAGGCAAAACCGGGTGAGATGCTACATCCAAGTGATGGTGCAACTTGGAAGCGTTTCAACATTAGGGATCCTGACTTTGTTTATGAGATTTGAAATGTTCATCTTGGGTTATGCACCGATGGTTTCAACACGAATAATTCAACTTCGAATCCATATTCACTGTGACCCGTCTTTATTACCATCTATAATTTACCTCATTGGATGGCTTTGAAAGATTCATATATTGAGCTTGCATTGGTCATCCCTGGTAGAAAGAGCCCCAGTCAGAATTTGGATGTGTTTCTCAGGCCGCTAATAGATGATCTAAAAATGTTGTATACGAAGGGTGTTCTTACGTATGATGTGTATCGAAAGAATAATTTTGAGATGAGGGCTATACTACTATGGACCGTCAGCAACTTCTCGGCTTATGCAATGTTGTCAGGTTGGAGGATGCATGGAAAGTTAGCCTACCTATATTGCATGGGAGAGGAGGATTCCTTCCAGTTAAAAAATGGAGGGAAATCATGTTGGTTTGATTGTCATCGGAGATGGTTACCTAGAGCGCACCTTTTCCGTTGTGATCGAAAAGGATTTATGGTTAGTAATAGGGTGTTTAACCGGTCCACCACCTGAGATAACTGGTAAAGAGATCTAGGAGTTCGTTCATCACCTTCCAACTGTTTATGAGGGCTACCCGCATAGTTCAAAAAATAGCGGGTTCGGAACCAATCATAATTGAGTAAAGAGAAGCATCTTTTAAGAGTTGCCATATTGGAAGATGTTGTTGATCCGACACAACCTCGATGTCATGCATATTGAGAAGAACATTTTTGAGAATCTCTTTAACACCATCATGGATACGTCAAAAACTAAATACAATGTAAAGGCGAGGAGGGATGTAGAGATTCATTGCGATCGAAGGGATTTGCACATTATCATGTCAGGCAACAAAGTAGTGTAACCAAAGTCATCGTACAATTTGAGCAAACAACAAGTAAAACAAGTGTGTGCATGGTAGAAGAAGTTGAAGTTTCCAGACGGGTATGCTTCGAATATAGGGAGTTGTGTGAACCTAGAAGAATATAGCTTTTATAGCTTCAAAAGTCATGATTGTCATGTGTTTATGCAACGATTGCTTTCTATTGCTTTACGAGGGATGATACCAACTTCGATATGAGATGTAATAACGGAGTTGTGCACATTCTTTTGTGTGATATGTTCAAGGGTGTTACACATATATGACTTGGTTCCATTACAAAAAAATATTGTTCAAACAATTTGCAAGTTGGAAAAGGTCTTCCGCCCGGATTCTTTGATTCAATGGAACACCTTGTGATACATTTGACACGTGAAGATATAAATGGTGGTCCGGTCCAATATAGGTGGATGTATCTCTATGAGAGGTGAGTCCCTAATTTTACTGAAATCTAGTACAATATTTATATAAAACACTCATTCTGTCCTTAACACGTATTTCATCTCTTTAGGAAGCTTGGGTCGTTAAAGAGAACGGTTCGAAACAAAGCAAGGGTTTAGGGCTCTATCGTTGAGTCGTACCTTGTAAATGAACTTTCTGCCTATTGCTCCCTCTATTTTGATCCAACAATAGATACAAGACATAATCGTATGTCAAGGAACTTTGCCCCAAATATCCCTACTTGTTCTGAGACCGACGATTGATTAAGTATATTCAAGGTTCCATCTCATCTACTATTCGCGAATGGTGGAAAACAGATAATCTTAAATAAACATGACCTGGAGACTATCCATAGGTATGTCTTGTTCAACCATGTAGAACTTCAACCTTTCCAGTCGACCTTTGATGTAAAGATTTGACAAATAGAACCGAATATTGATGATGTTAAATGTGATGGAATTCGGAAGGAGAGGTTTGCTGACTGGTTCTCGCACCACGTGAGCATATATATACTGGCCATTGGTATTAATATACATAATGCAATGATCTATGTTATATGTTTCTTACGCATGGATTTTTTTTATAGGTCATGTTCAAGTTAAATGACTCAAATGAACAATTAAAATCCATAGCATGCAGACCAGACCGTTGTGCCACCACGCATCCGGGATACTTTGTGAATGGTTTCAAGTTGCATATGGTAACCTATGGATCTGATCGAGTTACCCATAATAGTGGTATATGTGTTAGGGGGCCTGCTGTGGCGAGTGTGAGTCTGACTTCTATGGAATGTTAGATGATGTTATAGAGGTGGAGTATTATGTATCAGTGCGACAGGTGGTTGTCATGTTCAAATGCACTTGGTTTGATACTGCCTCGGGGGTTAGAGTTGACATCAAATATAAGTCTAGACTTGGATCCGACAACCCATTTGTTTTAGCATCACAGGTAGAACAAAACTACTATACTTCAAATTATTCGATGATGAAGGATTAGAAAGATTGGTGGGCGGTTGTCAATACAATGGCTCGTGGCGTATATGAAGTGTCCGACATGATTAACGATGTTGAAAACAATGATTATGTTGATGGAGAACAATCCTTTCAAATCAATGAAAGGGTAACTCAAACAACCTTCTCATTGGGAAAAGAGCTCGATGATGTTCGTCTTGCCATAGGGGAGGTGAACATAATCTGTAATATTAATGAAGATGAAGGTGGTGACGAATTGGACGATGATAGCGAGGATATGTCGGGAAATGAAGATAGCGAGGATGAACCAAAATTTGAAGATATAGATGATGATTCAAATGATGAAGATGAATCGATGTTATCTGATCATTCTTCTAATGAGTAACTTGTCTTCTATATGCTTATTTCACATATGATCCCTCTCCTGGTATTGTTCCCGGACTACCCATCTGGTTTTCAATTCCTCTCTGGCGAGTTTTGAACTTCACATGGTGGGAAGCCCTTCACGATTCGCATGATTTGAGGAGGCGACACTCACTAGTTTTGTCTGAATCAAACTCTCCCATGCTTTTCGTTGGTCAACAACCAGCCCCTTCTATCTTATTAGTAAAGCGCCAACGCGTGCCCTGCAATCAAACTCATGTTTCGCCTCCCCATTTTATCATCATCTTAACAATTTTCTTGAGGTTGTTGTAGCTCACTTGAAGACTTCTTATGAAGAGAATGAAGGTAATTCACAGTGTTAGCAGATGCAAAGTATGGAAGTGGGCCCTCACTCTTCTCTAATAAGAGCTTATCCCATGGAGTGAAACTACGATACACCCAACCCAATTCATGTCGAAAAAACCGCTTTCTTACTAGAAGAAAGAGAGAAGTGTGAGTTAGTCAAGTCGAGAAGCAACTCATTTTTCAAAATGTTAGAACTCGAGTACGAATGGAACCAAAAGAAAAAAGACCCCCTGAACTAGAAAGAAATTATTCTTCACCACTAGTGGCAACAAAGTTCTTGGTAATTAGCAAGGGGGAAGGAAGATCTCCATGAGACTGCTTCCGCATGGTTTAGCTCGACTATGCAACAGGTATGGCATTCAGGGTCTTAACCTAGGGAAAAATCTTTCTTCATAGATACAARACATTCGTTGCTGATCTAAAAAAGACGCTTTAATGGATATTGGGGAGAGATCGACTGTCAAATCTCGAACCCTAAAGTTATTCGTGAATTCCCCGGAGGGTTCTCATTATGACTCCAGCCTCCACGCATGAAATGTTGGCATCAGATTTGGGTGTTTAAAGATGATATACACAAGACTGCATTTTGAACTCACCAGCCTTTTTAACCTGCATAATAAAGGAAGGTTTTTATTGCCGGGAGAGTTGCGTCGGAGCCTAACCGACATAATCCTCGCAAAAGAAAAAGATCGACGGGAAAAGCGGAAAATAGTGGACTGATAACTAATAGATAAAAATAGGTGCAAATTATGACATCACCACAGCCCACTTTGTTTTCTCTCTTCTTGCTCGCAGAGTGATATTTTCCTCCTCTTCCAGTTCTATTAATGAAAAGGCCATCACGGACCAAAATCCAAAGGGATCAATCTTAGTGAAGATCTTGGGCCTGATGAGTTGACCATTCCTCCACCCCGCTTCATCCATTCCCATTCCAAAAAGTCCTTCTTCGATCTGAAGGTGTGTTAAGCATATATTCATTGTGGTTACAGAAGGGTTCTGTTTCTGAATCACCATTGAGAGCATTAAGCCCAAAAGGACGAATGTTTAATGTCTCCTAGGATACTAGGCACCATTGTCTATGAGAATCCCAAATCTTCAAATTAGATAATGTTTGTTAAACCCCACAATACAAAATGTAAAAAGTAATGAAAAACAACAAGTGATGAAGAACCAGAAGACCAATGAAGTCCTTCTTCGATCCGAAGGTGTATTAAGCATATATTCATTGTGGTTACAGAAGGGTTCTGTTTCTGAATCACCATTGAGAGTACGCTGACCTGCAAAACAGGTTAGTCCAACAACTGAGCGTTAGACCATAAGGTCTAGTGAGTGTATAATCCCATTCAACAATATACATTCCAAACAATCAGTTTGGAATCAAACCTGTTCTGAAACATACGTATATTTAT